CTCGTCACCACTAGGCGACCGGCTTCTTTGACGTGCCCAAGAGCTTCTTCGCCATTGGCCCGCGCCCTGCCCGTTGCAGCTGGGACATTTCCGCTGGCGAATGACGAGGCGGAGCTTGGCCCGTTGCTGGGCAGCCGGCCATCCGTGCCTGAACGGCGGGCGTTCTCGCGCGGGAGCCCCGAAGCCCGCGCGGAGCAACGGTCGGGGACGCTGGTGCGGGCGAGAGAGGTGGGTTGGTCGGGACGGAGCGCGCGCTTTGCTTGGCAAACGTCGCCTCGGCGGGGCACCGGGTGATTCGCGGCGGATACTGGACAGGTTGTACGCTGCAGCGGGGCGCAGGAATCTGAACGCCGAGGTTTCAAGGACGGAACCCGGGACTGAATCGGCGAAGAACCAGAGCAGATAGTCGAAAGAGCAAACGTGCACGGAGCAAGGATGGCGTCCGAGGACGGGAAAGTACGGAGGGACTTGATGAACATCCTCGGTCTAAGTGAAATTTGGTTACGTTTCTTTTTCTCTCAGTTCATGCCATGCTCGCTACAAGTGTACTGTTTTGTGCACCACCCAGGGTTGTGATTACATATGGGCGGCCATATGTCTTTTAAAATAAATAAAATAAGCTTACAGCACTTTTGTTCCCCCCCCCCCGATTCAGCTTACCCCAAAAGGATAAGTGGGGTAAGCTGGGGTGGGGAGGGAGCTTATATTTTTCTGTTGTATTAAGAAATGGATTAATGGTATTTAAAACCACTCATGGTCCTGTTCTATTGGAGCAGCATATAAGCCTCTATCTATCTATCTATCTATCTATCTATCTATCTATCTATCTATCTATCTATCTATCTATGCCCATCACGGTAAAAAACAACCCTGGGCGGTTTACAGAGAAGTTAAAATCAGTTAAAAATACAATGTAAAATGGTCCTGAGTAAATAGAAAATAAATACTATCCAAGAATAGATGTTAATTGGCAAGTAGTTTGGGGAGCGTCATCAAGGTGCCAGCCACCCCCAGGATTGGGTAAGATTCTTGTTGCCCCACGCAAGCTGGTAGAGCCTGGTCTTTAATCCTTTCCAGAAAGCCAGGAGGGTAGGGTAGTAAATACATTTACTTAATTTTTGTTAGCTGCCTTCTGCCCTAGGAAAAGTACCAGAATTGTATGTTGTCACCTAATTTATTTAATGTACATTTATTTTTATTTATTTATACTTCAAATTTGTCACCACCCATCTCACTGCAAGCAACTCTGGGCGGTTTACAGTAAAAAGAATAAATATTAATTAAAATACACTACAACAAGACTCCTGTATAAACAATAAATATCTTCCAAGAAACTGATGTTAACTCGGAGTTACTAGATTTGGGGAGCATCTAGTGCCAGCCACCCCCAGGGCTGGTTATATCTCTTCTCACCCCATGCAAGTTGGCAGAGCCAGGTCTTCAATTCGTTCTGGAAAGCTGGGAGGGTAGGGGCCTGCCTCATCTCTGCGGGGAGAATATTCCATGGGAGGAGGGGCAATAGCAGAGAAGGCTGTCCTCCTGGGACCCACCAGTCGACATTCACTCGACGGGGTCTGTAACATGCCTTCTCTGCCTGATTGGGTGAGATGGGTCAATGTGATGGGGGTGAGATGGTCTCTCAGGTAACCTGGACCCATGCCATGTAGGGCTTTAAAGGCAATAACCAACACCTTGAATTGGACCTAGAAGCAAACTGGCACCCAATGCAGCTCCTGCAGCAGAGGTGTTACATGTGCCATCCTTGGGGCACCCAAAATTGCCCGCTCAGCTGCATTTTGAACCAGCTGTAGCTTCCAGATACTCTTCAAGGGTAGCCCTTGTAGAGTGCATTGCAGTAGAGAGATGGCCAGGGCGTGAGTGTCTCACCGGAGAGCCTCCTGATCCAAGAAGGGGCGTAACTGGCACACCACCCAGAGATGGGCAAAGACCCTCCTGGCCACGACTGCCACCTGCTCTTTGAGCAATAGTTGTGAGTCCAGGAGAACTCCCAGATTATGCACCGGGTCTGTTTGGGGCAGTGCAGCCCTGTCCAAAACCAAAGATGGTAAGTTCTTGGATACAGAGGGGCCTCCAATCCACAGCCACTCTGTCTTACCAGGGTTCAACTAAAGCTTGTTGTTCCCCATCCAGACCCCCACAGCCTCCAGGCACCGCAAAAGGGTGGTCGTGGCATCACTTATGTCACCCAGGATGGAGATGTATAGTTGGGTATCTTCTGTATATTGATACCTCATCCCATGGTGGTGGATGATCTCACCTAGTGGTTTCATGTAGATGTTAAAAAGGAGCAGAGAGAGTACCAAACCCTGCGGCACCCCACAAAGGAGGGGCCGTGGGCTGGACCTCTCGCTCCCAATCAACACTGATTGGGATCGACTTTGGAGGAAGGAAGAGAACCAGCGCAGAACTGCGTCGCCCACTCCCAACTTCCCAAGTTGGCCCAAAAAGATACTATGGTCAGTGGTATCAAAAGCCGCTGAGAGGTCAAGAAGAGCAAGGATGGATGCAGTACTCCCATCCTGCTCCTGCCAGAGATCACCTGAGAGTGCGACCAATGCTGTTTCCGTCCCATATCCGGGCCTGAAACCTGACTGAAAAGGATCCAGATAATCCATTTTTTCCAGGATCCTCTGGAGCTGCAACACCACCACCTTCTCAACCACCTTCCCTAAAAAGGGGAGGTGGGAGACTGGACAAAAATTGTCCAATATGGTGGGATCTAGCGATGGTTTATTGAGGAAGGGATGCACCAGCACCTATTTAAAGATGGCTGGAAACACTCCCTCCCTGTGATGGAATGTATCTATGAAGAGGAGGGTGATCAAGGCTATCAGGAAGGAGGGAGCGCATTCCAGAGGGAAAAGGAGACAAGAGACAATACAGTCCGTGGGGGGGGGGGCGAAAGAGGTTCAGGATAGCCCCTCCCTAGAATCTCCCAGGGTATATCCACCAGATGCAGTAGCATAGATTTAGACTGGCAAGATTCTGTCTATAAGGTGTAAGCAAATAAAGGAACTTGACTCAACTGGACTGTTTCACCTTGTTCTTGGGCTGGGCCTGACACTCCCTCACTCAAGGATGAATTAACCATTGCCTGGACCCACCCACGTGTCACCTCCCGAGCAGCCTTAACCAGCCAGGAGGGGCATTGGTCTAGTTGACAGGTGGTGGCATTGACAGTCCGGAGGACTCTGTCCACTTCCTTGTGTCCAACAGGATCAAACTGTTCCCAGGTAACAGGGTAAGTCTGTTACCCTGGGAACACAGGCCATGCCCCACGCTTGGTATCCAACTGGGAATGGATCTGTCAGGCCCAGCCCAAGAACAACGATGAAACAGTACAGTACAGTACAGCTCCTTTATTAGCTTACACCTTATAGACAGAATCTTGCCAAACTAAATCTATACTACAGCGACTAGTGGATATACTCTGAGATATTAGGGAGTGGCTATCCTGAACCTCTTTCGCTTCCCACACTCCTGTTGCGGACTCAGCTGCCTCTTGCCTCCTCCTCTCTCCTGGAATGCAACCCTCCTTCCCGATAGCCTTGATCTCCCACATCACTTTCCTCCTCATAGATATATTCCATCGCAGGATCCAAGCAATTTTATCCACCAGATGCCCAGAAAACTCCTCCATGCGGCCCTGTAGGTAGACCAGTGGGCCCTCCTTTCCCAAAAGGGATCGGGTGATCTTAAATAGGGCCACCAGATGGCATTCTGCAGAGGCAATAAGAGCAGAGAAATATTGATGTTTCGCTGCCCTTACTGCTACAAGGTAGGCCTTAACAGCAGCTCTAGCCTGTGTTTGGTCGGGTTCAGTTCTTGTTTTCCTCCAGCGACACTCTAGACATCTCTTAATCCTTTTCAAGACCCTCAACTCCTCCATAAACTCCGGGAGTATCAGGCTCCATGGGTCAGGAGAGGTCGCGTGGGCGCGATTTTGTCCAAGGCCTCGGCTGCTTTCCTATTCTAGGTAATGGCCAAGGCCTCTGCTGGGCTATGTAGCAGACCCTCGGGTATAACCCCAGCTCCCTTTGGAACCCCATTGGGTTCATCAGTCGCCGTGGCAGACCAGATGAATAGGTCCCGCTTCCCTGTGGAGGGGGGTAGCAGAAGAGAATCTCAAAGCTACCCAGACATGATCTGACCATGACAAGGGGGACAGATGTTAATTCCCCCTTCAGAACACATTGCCACTGCTCTGACAAGAAAACCAAGTCCAGTGAGTGACTGCTGTTTCAAGTCAGGTCGCGAATAATCTGGGACAGGCCCATGGCTGCCATGGTGGCCATGAACTCCCGGGCTGCCTCTGGGGCACGCCCTAGGGATGGCAGACTGACGTACCCCAGAACCATAAGTCTGGGGAAGTCCACCACCCGCCCCGCAACAGCCCCCAGCAGCTCAGGCAAGAAGGTTGCTACGCAGCGTGGAGGCGGGACTACATAGAATACAACATGAGAAGGGCTGGACTTGGAATTAAATTGGAATTGGAATTAAAATTACTGGGAGAAACATTGACAATCTTAGATATGCTGATGATGGGAAGTTAAGAAGACATAAGCAATCTCTCGTTGAGGGTGAAAGAGGAGAGTGTAAAAAGACAGCTTGCTGCTCAGAATTTTAAAAAGTGGGATTACATCACCAGGCAACACTAGCCTAATGCAGATATTCTGAGTTGTTAGAATAGCAATGTACTTTATCTCTATGGGGTCAAGGTTTAATTAGGCTGATCTCAAAACTGTAAATTCAGTCCAAGTTTCATACATTCAAAGTCAAATTTGAGAAAGTGAGTCACATTTCTAGGAAAGCATCTTGGCCATTTGGAGTTCCAAGGCAGAAATGCCCATTGTTCCAGAGCCTCAGTGAGCCCAGGTGGCTCCCTAACCTCCGGGGAGCTGGCCCTGACCAGTCTGGCTCCCACCAGCAGCTTCCTCTTGGACAGCCCCACCCCAGAGCTGAGGGAAGGGGCTCCAAATCCATAGCAGGTTTGGTGGAGCCCTGGAAACTGGGGGGGGGTCTACTCCTTGGGGGGCCTCTTCTGGGGACGGCCATTGAGGGGATGGGGGCTACATTCTAAGGAGGTCCACAAGTTCACATTGGAGCTGGGCTAACTGAGGATCTGAGAGGAGACATTCCTGAATTCTACGGATGGCTGATGCCTCAGTGAGACCTTCATATTCCTGGACAGTTTTAGTGGGCAGATGCCCCGCCAGTTCACACACTGCCACATTGAAGGCGAATTCTTCTTTGATACCAAAGCAGGCTTTCCGTGCCCAGAGAATGATCCGGATCCCAGGCCGAGCTCCTGAGCCAACAGGACCCTCAGGGGCAGCACCCCGTGTGGCAAACAAGTTGTGCGCAATCTCCCTCTGAGACAGATAGCGGGTGACCTGGGTGATCCGGCGGGTCAGCAACCCCAACTGCTGCCCGTCCTCGCCGTAGAAGAGGAAGCCCGGAGCCGGGGCCTCTCGCAGCAGATAAAGGCCTGCTTCGGGCAGGAGGGGCTCACAGGGGGCGGATTCCACCAAGAGCTCCCAGTTCAGGTAAAAGCCGTGCAGGTGCAGATGGTTGACCGAGGCAAATGCTCCGAGGCTGTTGAAGCCAACGCGGAAGCCGGGGTGGGTGCTGAGGAGGACAGCATCTAAGCCAAAGCCGAGGGCCTCCGGTGTGAGGATCTGGGGCAGAGAGAGAGTGGGGTCGGGGATGAGAAGAACGTGCCCGAACTCCAGAGGGCTGACATTGATCACCACCAGGGCCCGGGGCGGGCTGGCCGGGGGAGGGCAGCGCTTGGACATGCAGAACAGGATCTCCTCTGGGCGGATCTTACAGAAGTTGAACTGCTGGGGGTCGAAGCTCTGCTGGACGCTGCGGACCTCCTGGGGCCGCCTCCTCTCGGTCCCTCTTTGGACGTTCAGCTGGGCCACGAGCCTCAGGGTCCCCGGGAGGATCCGGGTCTGCAGCTCGCCCAAGCGGTAGCGGAACAGCCCCCTCCGCAGCCGGTCGTCCCAGCCTCCGCGCAGCGCCCGGTCGAAGCGCGACAGGGCAGGGCTGCCGAGCCCCCGCGGGGCGCTTCTCGGCCACTCCACGCCGCGCAGCGCCAAGTCCTGCTGGCCGTAGCGAAAGACCTCGGGGGGCTGCGGGGGGCTGCGGGCGCCCCGGCCGCCCGCCCCGAGCTCTGCCGCGGCCATGCCGGGAGCGGCTGGCGGCCCCCGCGCCCGAGACAACCCGCGGGAGAAGCGCCGAGGACCCCGCCAGGCGCCCGGCCGAAGGGCTCGCGGCGGCCCGCCTCGACCGCGTCGGAGAGAGAGCGCCGGGCGAAGCTCCGCGTGGCGGCGGAAGCCGGCTCTCCCCCGGCTCTTCCGCCCCGAAGCCGGGCCGCCCGCTCTCCCTGCCGGCGCCGCGGTGGCTCCGGGCAGCCTCTCCG